TTGAGGACGCCAAAAAGGATGCCAAAATTTACCATTTTACGCAATTTTGGTTTAAGTAGGGTTTGAGACGTGCTTAACTTTAAATTTCCAATTCAGAAACCTACTTACTTATATTTGTATGCATTTATATCTAGATATTGGTATATCCAAAAAACCTACTTAGAGCAATCTTTAATTTTTTTTTTATCGAGCCTATTATTAAAATTTATATTTCGCTCTTTTTTAAGACAATAGCTTATATGTTTAATTTTCATGAAATTATTTTAATTTGGCAAATATTGGTATAGCTTTAGAATAAAATTTGTTTAAATAGTGATAATTTCGTAAAATGTCGAAATAAGGCATAAAATCTACGAAGAATTCTGATATTTTCTAATAACCCAACATGCTTGGTGAAAAATAAATTAAGTTTAAAATAACTAAAACTTACCTATATCTTAGATTAGAAGCCATAAAACTTAGAAACGGTCAAAGGTCAGATCTGTGGACTCAGATTAGCTTAATTGTCACAGGTAAGGTTAATTTATTCTTATCTTAATGGCTTTAGGGGACTTAAGTTACAACTTAAACTAGGGATAATTGTTTCTTGACTACCGCTGTAGCCGAGTGGTATGGATATTGGTTTCGACATTTTCACTATCTCTGATGATTCAATTCTCTGTCCAGTCAATATGGAAAATTATTTTCTCTTTTTTCTCGGTAACCTATGCGTACAAAATACCGGTGACCTTAAAAAATAATTTAAAAAAGTATTCCAGTAATCTATAAAATAAGCTTGGCTAAATTAAATTGCAATTGTAGTGGGTCCCCGAATGCAATGTCATTTTTATTTTAAAGATTACTTTTATAATTTAATTCATAAATACTAAATAATATATCTTAATATGATCTTGATAAAAGAGGATATCCATAAAAAAAATTAATCAAATCAGCTTATTCTTTTAGAAGTTAGCATGCTGTACAATTAATTTAAAAAAAAAGTGCCTGTAGCTCCTAAACTACTTATCTGATTTTCATATTTCGATTCATTCATTACTTCAAGACCTACCGTGCCACAGACAGATAGATAAAGCAAACTTATTACACCACTCTTTTTCGGGAGTTTTAAGTGGATCTTTATGTCCAAACTCTTTGCTTTCATGTTCAGAGGTTATGCATTCGAAAAAAAAAAATAACAAATACAATAAACATACTTTTATTTCGAAGTATTTTACAGAACTACACATGAGCTTTTTATATATTGAACTCACGTTATTTCGCGTTTTTTAAGCAAATGATCGATTCAACGATAAGAACGAAGCTTACAGTTTTATTTTCCTAATACACGTAAGCTTAAATACATATTGCGTACTTGAAATTACTGCAAGCATTTGATTAAGTTAATATTATATGATTAACGTGGACAAAAAGAAAGATTCAATGAAATAAAATAATTAAATTTTTAATGCACCGCCATTTGTTGGCGCGAAACAATAACGTTTCATTTCTATTGACTGTTAATAGATGGCACTATAATTAAATGTGGAATGGAGTTTCTATAGAACGTGTGTAATGAAGAAGAAATCCTATCAGTTTGTGGTTGTTAATTTATCTAAGCAAATATTATACACCAAACAAAAGTTATATCCCGCGACTTTATTCACGTAAATTATTGCCTATGGCACCCGCATCTAGGGTTACCTAAGAATTTTTGGACTCTACTGAGGATTGGGGTCGGATTTTAAGAATTTATAATAACAATATAGTATATTTTAAAGATCGCTTTATTTAAAAGTTATTAAAACTAAAAATTATCTTTCTAAGTTTGCTATGTGCAACGAGTGAGCGACATCCCCTGAGATCCGCAGTATATAAAAACGATAATATTTTCACTTTTTTGAATTATTAAGAATATCTGAAAGAAAAAAAACAAGATCTCAGGATTTTTCAATGGAAATTTGGCTTTTCCTCCGAACTTTTGATATTTTCACTTAACAATACCAAATAACAAAAATAGGTAACCCTACCCGCGTCGCATGTTTGATGTAACATAGCATTTTTTTTTAAATAGGTCTAGTACATAATTTTGCAGCCTACACAATGCAAACGAAAATTCGAATCTTTCTTCAATTGTGTTATATAGCACAAGTGTGCGAAGTTATTGGATAATGTAGGCACCTAATATTATAAATAGTTTCACGGAAAAAAAAATCAATGAAATTTTCTAACAAAACATTTACGTCTAGACTATTGTTGTTTATAATTTTAATAACATTAATGACATACGATAATGCAAACAAGTATATTGTAGCAGAAATCAATGCATTAATTCAATGGCTTTGCGCTTTGTATTGTGTATCAAGGACAAAGACATTCAAACTTATTGATAAGTAATAGACGAGCCTTCGGAGTTAGTTTTTGACACGAAAATAGGTTCTTCGTAATAAGAAATAGTCTTTCTCTTGTTAAATAATTAAAAAGTATTTCTGTTTGTTTAGGAAAATGCGATATGTGAAAAATCACGCCCTCTATGTTTCTAATGGGGAAAAGCTGAAACAATGGAATACGCTTATGATTTTTGTGTTGTTGTTACTCAAAACTAGAGGGTGTTACTCGGCGAGGGCGAACCTGCTTTAAAAGATTTTTGTCCTTGGACGATATATCTTATTAAACTATATCTTTTCCATAATTCAGAAAAATAATTATAATGGCAATTTGCAGATCTCTAGCCATGACTTTAGCTTGTAACGGAGCGTCGTACCACCGTTAATTTGTTAAAAATCAAAGATTTTGGGTATGTTCCGATATACACTGCGAGCACTGCGCAGTGGTCTTAACTGCTGAAAAATCCGTTCCGTTATGGACTGCCAGTACACTGCTACAGTACCCTAGGGAAATTTATGACGTCATGAATTGCCGCCATATTTGTACTGTGAGCACTGGAGGTTTCGAGGTAAGGTGCTCGCAGTGCTGTTGATCACGTGATCAGTCGAAACAGAATCAGAAAAGATAGTTTCTAAATAAACAAAAAAAAAATACTTACGTTTATTATAAGATGGATTTAATTGATAAATAATTTGTTTATACAATTTCCAATATTTCCTTTTGAAAAGAGGGAATCTTTATATTTATATTCACCTTGCATTAACGAATTTGAAAATGGCGCCAAAAAATAGGATTAACAGTATACTGGACTGCGTTCCGTTTTAAAAAGTCACCAGTATAACTAGTATAAAGGAACGGGCTTCCAGTATACTAAATTGACGTCATACTGTTCAGTGGTCGCAGTGTATTTCGGAACATTTTGCCATTGATCTTCAAAATCATTTATTTCTTTCATCATCTGCCTAAGCAACGAACCCGTCACAAGCCATAGGATACAAAATCTTAACGATGTTATGACGCTTTTTCGCTTTGACATCTTTTGGTGGATAAATTTAGGATAAATTACTAAATTAGATATACTGCTGTCTAATCCGTACTCATCATTGTTTATCATTCGTTATTAAAGTACATGTCAAAGTAATAAAAGGCTAAAGTTATAGCTACAGGAGTAAATCAGTCGTTTTCAGTAGAACGTCTCAGTTTTATTACATTTGACTGCTAAGAAATATACCACCATCAGCTTTACAACGTTCCCGCAGCTTGACCTGTCAAAAAAAGCAGGGAAATAGGAATTCCCTATTGATACACCCACCACAAAGAGAAACCCTTATAACCACCCTACCCCACCACTCAAAAATAATGTCATTCGATCTTTCTGTCTGTCTGTTCGTAGTACCGTATCTCCTGAATAAATGAACGAATTTCAGCTTGGTTTTTTATCGAAAAACTCATCATGATGGTTCATAGGTACATTTTATTAAAATTGGTTAGCAGCTACAAGCATTTGGCCGAGACGAGGTAGCTATTTTTTTTTTATTTGTACTTACAGCATCCTAGCTTGTAAACGAATGGGCCGATTTGATTTAAGACTTTTTTTAAATAACTTTTTCTAAAGAAATTTTAAATAATGAGGCAGTATTTAAAAAAAAAAATTAGTTCCCGAAATCGATGTCGCTACGGTACTTTCTTGATTTCTCCATGACAATCTTTCCGGTATTCTTTCATGTATAAAAGTAAATTAATTTACAAAACCCAATAAACAACACTTATTCTATTTGTACTTTTTCGTTTTTGTTTTGATATCTTAGTTTCGAACTTTGCAAATTTAAGAGAAACGGATATGTTAGTTAAGAGAAACGGAAATGACTATCTTTGGTCCATTCGTTTCCTGCAAAAATCAACTTTTGCTAGAGTCTCCATCTAGTGAGGTGCTTTTTTGTGCTTTCTTTATTTTTTTTTTAATACTTCCTCATTAAAAAATAAATATTAGATCTTGAAATAAACATTGTTATTATTTTCATTACTTTTACACGGTAATATTATTTTATACCGTAAATAAATACTACTTTTAATAATTTTACAACAATATTCTGTTGATTACCATAGCTTGTAAAAAACCTTATCTATGCTCACTTCCATAAGTCAGTCTGTTTTCAATTATACAAATAAAAAAGTATTTTCTTCGAAGCTTCATGCGTATTAAACGTGTTGCGTTTGCGTAACTCGAACTAATAAAATTTCAACTCGACATTAATCCAAGTTATCACATGCATACAACATTAACAATTCTATTCAATGCTGCCATCTAGTGGCATATTTTTTTACTACTTCCTCATTAAATGAAAAAGAAAATTATGAAATATAAAATTATTCTTTAAGAGCATATAATTTTTATTTTAAAGATTAAGAAAAATATGTAGGAAAATAGGGAACTGCCTAGCGAACCACAAATTATGTTGATCTCTTCTCTATGAGTCTTATCAGAGGGTAATCGCTCAAAGAACCCTCAGACATATCCATTTAAAATATTTGGCCGATGAAAAAGCATACCTACTGAAATAAGTTTACTTGATAAACTAAGTACTGTAACGTTGGTTCATACCTTTATTTTTGTTATAAATTGTTCCTTGTTGCAGCATTATATCACACTTGCTCGAACAGCGACGAGTGCAACGACGGTCTAATATGCGGCACACCTAACATCACGGGCACCCCTCCCCCCCATCTGCGCATGCACGGCCCCGCTGATAAAATCTGCCTGTGCGACGTGGAAAATGGATTTAAGGAACACGAGCATACCTGCAGCGGTGAGTGATTAACGCCATCTATTAAATAGTGGTGGCACTTTTGCTTTTGAAGTGTAAAACGGTAAAAAATATAATTTAGAATAGCGCCATCTATTTAGGCAAATATACAAAATATAAAATTAACCATGTTCAATTTATATTATTATGTTCAGAGTAATTTTTTGATAACCGGCGTTTGCCCGTTACAATTAAGGTCGAAGGCTAATTGTCTAATTTTAAAATATATCGCAATCCCTTTCAGAATGAGTGATGATTTGCATGATTAAGAAACATAATAAATAATATAATGAACCCGTTCAAAGATTAGCATGAGCTGAAAATAGGTACATCATCAGGATCGGCTTCTTTCCTTCAATCAATGCTTTTTAGTTTCTTTTCTGCAGGTTCTACATGAAATGGTACTGTTTAAATTATATTTAATCTTGACAAATACGTTAAGTATTGACTTCAATATTTTAGTATCAGAAAGGGTATTAATTAATTAAATAGCCTACTAGCGGCAAATTTGTAAATCTGCTACTGAGTTTCATATTTCTCTATAGCTTTCATAGATGTTTGCGCCTAATTGCCTTGGACAATAGGGATGATGACTGGGTAAAAAAATGCAATTCTATTTAGTCCGTCAGTCAGATAATAGAAAAATATTAGATACGTATTTTTTTTCACTTCAATTTAACAAGAAATAGCTTCGATAACAGGCATTAAAGTTGAGGAGTGGGGGCTCGCTACGTCACAGTTGAGTAGAAAACGTACTCTAACGTGACGTCATGAGAAATTTCAACTCAATGTAACGCCGAAATTTTAGGATTACGAAAAAAAAAATACGTGCTTAATATTTTTTAACACTCTACCTGACGGACAAACAAACAAATCCCTATTATGATTAATGTCAAATTAACGATATCATTCATTCAATATCTTTCAAAAAAACTATCGCGTTTCCATACACGCGCGTATATTTTTTTTCCAAAGAATAAAAAATATATTATAGTAGCTGGAAAAATAAACTTTAATGGACTGTATATTTAAATTAATTTTGGTGTGCTAATTAGAGATATATTTAATGCAGTGGAAATCAACTGATTTATTATGACGGCTGTTTAATAAGAATAAGCTGCATCTAGGATATTAAAAAGGGGAAGAAATACAAAGGCAGCTCGAAAACTGTATGGAAATATGCGCTCACTCTGGTTGCTGATTACTGCAAAACCATCCATCAGTTCAATGGCGGTCGAAGTCCTAAAAAAGCACGTGCTCAACGAAATGTCTTCTAAGCTGCTAATATTCACTAAATAGCACAATCTTGTAAACAACACATTTTAATAACTTGGGCTTCATAAGAACATAACACTCTTGACGAATAAAGTATTAAAAAAAAACTTGAGACAGCGCAAACGATGCGCTCCGAGAGAGTTCAATTTTTAACCGACTACGCGACGCAAGTGAGGGTAATGTGTTTAACAGTCTATGTATGTATGTTTGTTTCTATGTGGCGTTCTAGAGACCAAATTCGTAGGCCGATTTTGATGATTCTTACATCGACCGATTCGTCTTAACCTTGCGAGTGTCACTAAAGACATGACAGTAATCAAAATTCACCACAGCGACAACCAGACGCCATATTGACAAAATGAAAAAGAAAAAAAACAATGAACTATGTCAAGTGGGGTGTCGTTGAATAGGCATTTTAAAATCATCTTTAGGTTCCTTTTTACATTTTTCATTTTAAACAATAGTTTAGGATATATAACGATTTAAAGTTGTTTAACAAACGATATTATCTCCTTCGATAAGATGACTAGATTGCGAAATTTACCATCTTATAACGAAGTCAACGAATCGTAAACTAAAAAGTATAAAAAAAAAATTTAAAGAAAAACAAAAAATCCGACTGCGTAAAAACTTATTAAAAAAAATAAATTAACAAATTAACTTAAATAAAAACTCAAAAGAAAGAAACAAGCCCAGTAGTTTAGAATTCTGTTAAGTAATACTATTTCAATTGTGTCGTTATTTAGTATTAATTAACAGAATTCTAGACTACTGGGATTGTTTCTTTCTTTTTAGTTTTTATTTAAGTTAATTTGTTCATTTATTTTTTTTAAATAACTTTTTACCCAATCGAGTTTTTTGTTTTTCTTTAATTAGACAAGATGTGCATATTATGAAGGAAGTGGTTAGGAAACGTAAAACAGCTGTCATAAATTTATGAAAGTACACCTACAAAGAATAAATAACCATCAGTTGTAGTGTGAAGAACGTGAAAATCTTTCAAAATTCGATTTGAAAGGGAATGCGACAGACTTAAATATTTGATAATTAGTCCCCGAAACGTAGTTAGCGTTTCATACAGTGTTTATTTTAAAGTTCCCTCTCGTGTACCATTAAAATAGAAAAAGCATTCACTAGAACAGTAACACCACCTATAAACAGCCCGCCTTAATGTACTTTCACCATCAACCTCGTGTGTTGAAAAGTTTTAAGAAAAAATAAAAGTTGCGTAACTTTTTTAATAATTAACTTATATTTCTAAAATATTCAGTAACCATTATATGGATAATAATCAACAATAAAATATTTATTTTATTTATAATGATCGTTTTTATTTTTATACAGGCCCTTAGACTATTTGACCAGCCATGAATGGCGGCACGAATCTTTTGTTTCGCTGAATTGATACTATTTTAATGGACGCAGTTACGGCTTACAGGAAAACTTTTCAAATCGCGGAAAATCTGCATCGGTTTTTTTCCCGCCTTAAATAGCGAAATGACAGTTGAACGTAATTGTTTCGTTCCCTCCATCACGAGAAAATATAAGCCAATGAATTTGCGCTACAAATAAACTAAAAGTTATTATTCCAAATTCAAAATCGGTAAAAAAAATAACAGCCAGTAAACATTTTATTTAGTTTTTTCTGTAAAAAGTTTTACTCAAAATTTATTAACACACGAGGTATGGAAACGATGATTTGTGTTTTTGTAAATTTTTCCATTTATACAATTTTAATTTCAGACGCTGACATATTGAAGACTTCTATTTTTGCTGTTCTCATCGTTTCCTGCATACGAAAAATCATCGTATATTAATTAATATCGATATTACGTATATACTTCTAAGGTACTAATATTGATTTCCTTTGCATTGAAAAAAAAAATGTTTCTTTCAACGACCTGTCATAGTAAATAAGTATATGTCAATTAAATAAAAATTAATGATATATCATAAATAAAATATGATTTATTACATTCGATCCATTTTGAATTCACAATGCTATACTGGAAAATGCTAAAAAATACACTTTGTTATGACACTCTGAGATTGAATTCGAACGCATGACCTTTGGTCAAAGACATAATTGCTTTTTAAGTATTTTTCATTAAGAAATTATAATTTTTTCATCATTTATACGTAACTTTTGCATTATTTTTCCTCATCCATAATTTTTAATACGTTCATTTAGATTAATATACACATTAAGTACAATAGATGCTTTTAAAGTAGCAGTTAAATTGTAACTTAATTTTTTAATAACATTTAAAAAAAGGAAGTATTAAAAAAGAAACGACTAAAATAAATGTCACTAGATGGTGTTATTTGTGGGTTATAAGCCTGTCAATTGCGAATGCGCTGCAACCTGGCCAATTCACACCCATCTGACGTCATATAGAAAGTATAGGTAGCATAAAAAGCAATAGAAAGCTTTTTAATTCATTTGTGAAATATTATGTATTATCCTTAGAATACGATTCAAATAATTTATTATCTCCTAATTTGGCAAAAGACTTTTTTCACGAATTTTATTTGTTTTTTTAAATACTTCCTCATTGACGGGGCTTATACTCACGTATCAAAATTAACCAGAGGCAAGAAAAGCTAAAAATAGCGAATCGCTTATTTGTTATAAGGAAGTATATTAAGAAAAAAAAAGAAAGCACTAAAAAAGTAACTCCACTAGATGGCGACTCTAGTAAAAATTGATTTTTGCAGGAAACGAATGGACCAAAGATGGTCATATCCGTTTCTTATAACTAACATATTAAAAAAACTCAAATTTGCAAAGATCCGAACTAAGATACCAATACAAACACGAAAAGGTACATATAGAATATGACCCAGATAGCAATTTAAACTTGTTTCTGAGTTGTGACAAGTTTGATACATCAAAAAAGAAGACTTGCTTCAAGTTTGCCATGACAACTTGCAGCAAGTTTAAATCAAACTTTTTAGTTTCAGTGTGACAAACTTGCACTACGTTTGACGTATCAAAGCTAGTGTAAGTGTACCTGGGAAAATTATTATTACTACTACCGTAGTAGTAATGATAATTTTCTTAGGTATAGACTCGAATACCTGGCAGGTACTCGGGTACCTAGAATACTGGTTTCGAGGCAAATATTACTTTAAGTTTACTAAGTTTTTATAATTCTTTTGATCATTCAAAACTTTTGTTCCAAAAGAGATTGCGACTTTAAACTCAGACCACAGCATAGAGCCTGGCCTGGGAGCCGAAGTGATTAACTGGAACGGTTGGTTTCGAATCCCTTATTAAGATCACATTAAACGGTATATTACTTATATAATCTAACAATATAAACATATACCGCGATACATTAAATGAATAGCGCCATCTAGTTTGCAGACTTGAGAACTATTCGGGCACCTATGAAGATGATGGGTGTGTTACATATAAGTATCTTTGTCATAACAATATTCAAGTAATATTGTCGCAAACTTTAAATTTCACATTTAACATAACAATATTGCAGCGATATTGTCACAAACTAGCCTCGTATATTTGACGCAGCAATTTAGAATCAATGAAAAATCAAACTTGCCCCAAGGTAGCATGCTATCTGGGGCGTTGTTTATTGAGTTTTGAAAATTAATTTACTTTTATACATGAAAGAAAATCGGAAGGTTTGTCATGGAGGAATCAAGAAAGTAACGTAGCGACATCTAGTTTGTTTTCGGGAACTATTTTTTTTAATACTTCCTCGTAGAAAAA